ACCCTGTATAGCTTTCTGAGGAACGGCTGATGAGTTTGAACTGCTGACCTTAAAGTTCAACCTGACCTTGTGGTAGAGTGCTTATCTTATCTTACAGCGTCACTCCAGGACTCCACTGGGAAGTACAGGGCTTCGTATTTAGTGACCACTGAGGTGGTTAATTTTATGTGTCAGTTACACTAGGCTATGGTTCCCAGTGGTTTGGCCAAACACTAGCCTCATCGAGATGATGTGTAATTAATAAAATCATATTCCACAACATTTCAAAATGTAATATTATGCCAATCAATATGCTGAAAGAGTTTCCTTGGGGTATGTACATACTCTAGAGAACAAAAATGTATATTTGCTGAACTCCCTCCTCTGTATTCTTTCTGCCTGACCTCCAGCTCTTGGGATGCAAGTCTGTAATGGTATCCAGAATGCTGTCTGACTTACAGATTTAGGACTTGCAAGCCTGGTGAGAAGGAGCTCTGGGGGCGTAATGGTTACGAACCAGGCTGCTAACCTCAAGATCAGCAGTTCAAGACTACCAGCCATTCCGCGGGAGAAAGATGAGGCGTTCTGCTCCCATAAAGATTTACAGCCTCAGAAACCCTGTGTAGGGTCGCTATGGGTCGGAACCAACTCCACAGCACGTAACCACCACCAAGCACAACTGAACGAAGCACTGCCCCATCCTGAACTATCCTCACAATTGTTACTCCTCAGCCCATTGCTGCTGCTACTGTGCCAATCCATCTCAATGAGGATCTTCCTCTTTTTCACTGACCCTCCACATTACCAAACATCATGTCCTTCTCCAGGGGCTGGTCCACCCTGATAACAAAGCCAGCCTGGCTTTTAAGGAATATTCTGGCTGTGTTTCTTCCAACCCAGATTCATTTGTTCTTCTGGAAGTACATGGAACTTTCAATATTCTTCTCCAACACCATAAATCAAATGCATCAAGTCTTCTATGGTCTTCTTTAGTCATTGCCCCAACATTCACATGCATATGAGACTTGGGTCAGATGCACCTTAGTCCTCAAACTGGCATCTTTGCTCTTGAACACTTTAAAGAGGTCTTGTGCAGATCTGCCTAATGCAATATGCCATTTGATTTCGTTACTGCTGTTTCCATGAGTGTTGACTGTAGATTTACGCAAAATGAAGTCTGACTATTTCAATCATTTGTCTATTTATCACGATGTTATTTATTAGTACAGTTGTGAGGATTTTGTTTTCTTTACATTGATGTGCAATCTACATTATATTAAATAATGCAGGAAGCATCAAAAAAGGTAGAATAAATGTATAGTCACTGTACTAAACAGAAATGGCCAACATGTAACCATTTTAGGAAGAAGCAAGTTATCAAAACTTACAGTAATGAAGGAAGAAGTCTAAGATGCACTAAAAGAATCTGTGAAAATCAAGGCTCCAGGAATTAACGGAAGACCAGTTGAGATGTTTCAACAAATTTCTGTAATGCTGGGAACACTCACTCATCTATACCAAGAAATATTGACGACAGTTACCCAGCAAACTGCCAGTGACTGAATTGTGCTTTCCCAAAATATGGGGGAACACAGGTTGGCAGGATCCTGACTCTCAGTGGTGTGGCAATTGTGGAAAGAGGCAATGTGGCACTTAGGTGATGTTCTCCCATAGTATGATCTGATGTGATAAACAGGTATGTGAGGACTAAGGATGAGTTATATAACACCCTTAGCCCCCTCAAATCCCTGAAATGATGTAAGGGGTTTCTCTGGGGTATGGCCTGCAACACCTTTCATTTAGAAAAGATAAAAGAAGATAGAAGGCAGATAGGTCTCTTGTGATACAATAGTGAATAATTGTTATCAGGATTGCTTGTGAGGGTTGGAAATGTAAAGGTAAATGTTTTGTAGCAAGGAGGGGAGTGATTAACCTTGCAACCTTAGGAGCAGAGGTCCCTGGGACCATCAAGGGAGAAGAGCAGAGAGTAGGGCCCTACCCAGAGAAGCAGTGATGCCAGAGATGGAGGCAGAGACGATGACGTGGAGATGGAGTGGCTGTGGACTTTAGACACAGAGAGGGAGAGGGGCTGTGTGCTGACGGCCGGGGGGTCAGACTTGCAGGGCATACCCTTTGGTTGATTGATGATGCATGGAGGGGATTGTAACCATGGCAATGAAACAATATACGATAGGATGAATGTAAAGCTAATGTTCTCCCATGTAAACTAACACATAATTCACAATAAAACATTAAAAAAAAAAAAAAAAAAAAAAGGAGATAGAAGTTAGCAAAGGTCAGAGGGAACTATTACCACCAAGAAAGAAGAGGCAAAAATCGAGTGCATCCGATGGACCTGGGTCCTGCGCTGTGAAGCTCCTAGATCCAGGGGAAGATTTACGCCCAAACATGAAAAGCTCCAAGGAATATCAGACCTACAGATGCTGAAAAGAGACAAGGTCCTTTCCAAAGAACCCACAGAGAGAAAAAACATTCCCCTAGAGCCAGCATGCTGAATTTGAACTTCTAACCACGTAAACTGTGAGAGAATCCAATTTTGTTTGTTAAAACCATCCACTTGTGGTATTTCTATTTAGAGAAGCTCTAGAGAAGTAAGACATCAACTGACTAGAAGCAATCTAAATTTGTGCCCATTCCAAAGAAAGATAATCAATCTAACAGGAAGCAAAAATTATAAATGACATTGTGAACAATGGGAATTGTGGAACACTTAATTTTGGTCCTGTGCATATACACCAAGAGTCAGTCATTCAAAACGAACAAGGGGACACCGCATAGTTTAAAATTAAAAAAAAAAAATGTGTGTGTCAGGGTTGTATCCTTTCACCATATTTATACAATCTGTATGCTGAGCAAATAATCCAAGACACTGGATTATATGAAGAAGAAGGTGGTATGAGGACTGGAGGGAGACTCATTAAGAAGCTGAAATATGCAGATGACACAAGCTTGCTTGCTTAAAGCAAAGAAGTGCTGATGAAGATTAGAAACTACAGCCTTCAGTACAAATTACACATCAACATAAAGAAAACTATCATCCTCACAATTGGACAAATAAAATCATGATACACTGAGAAAAGACTGAAATCGTTAAGAATTGCATTTTATTTGGATTTACAATCAATACCCACAGAAACAGCAGTCAAAATCTCAAACAACATGTTGCACTGTCGCAAATCTGCTGCAAAAGACCGCTATAAAGTTTCTAAAGCAAAGATGTCAGTTTGAGGACTAAGGTGCACCTAAACCCAAACCATGACACTTTCAGTGGCCTCGTATGCATGTGAAAGTTGAACAATGAATACGGAAGAAACAAGAAAGAGTGACGCTTTTGAATTATGGCGTTGGCAAAGAATATTAAATATTATCATGATATACTTTCATGGAAGAAGTATAGTCAGAATGCTTCTTCGAAGGGACAATGGCACGATTTTATTTTGCATACTTTGGCCATATTATCAAGAACCCGTCCCTAGAGAAGGACACCATGTTTGGTAAAATAGAATCAGCAAAAATAAAGGAAGAACCTCAAACAGTTAGGGCTGACACAGAGGCTGCAATTATGGCCTCAAACGTCACGTTGACAGTGAGAACGGGCAGGACTGGGAAACATTTTGCTCTGTTGTACATAGGGTCCTTTTAAATGGAAACCAGCTCAGTAACACCTAACAACAACACACCTCTATTACCTTGAGGAAAAGGTGAACGAATCTCCAGAGGGGAAATTCTTCCCTCATTGTGTTGTTAGCTGTTATCAAGTCAACCCCACCTCGTGGTGACTCCATGAGTAATGGGAGCAGACCAGTGACCCACAGGGTGTCCACTGGTTGATTTTCAGAAGCTGACTGCCAGGTCTTTCTTGTGAGTTTGGAAGCCTCCACCGACAGACAGGTGGTAGCTGAGTCTAAGATGCCCTGACCGGAATTGAACCTGGGTCTTCCACAAGGAAAGTGAGAATTCTACCTTTGCCCCACCACTGCCCTCTTCCCGCATTATGAACATCCCATATCATCTGCCCTACCTCCCAGAGCTCATCTCCTACTCTCCCTTTTGTTCCCCATCCTCCAGTCAAGTTTACCATCTTCCTATAACCTGAATATACCAAGTTTATTCCACTTCAAGGTCTGCTCTTTCCTCTGCCTGGTAGTTTACTTATGGCAGATCTTTGCAAAGCTGCATCCTTCTCATCATCTAAGTCTCAGATCAAGTGTCATCCTCTCAGAAACTCCTTGTATATATCCCTACCTAATGCAGTTTCCCCTTACTCCATCACTAACTTGCTGAACACATTTCTTTGTATGATCTTCTAGCTTTCTACAATTGTCTTATTTGTTCCCTTTTCTAGTGTCTATCCCCCAAACTAGCCTGCAAGGTCTAGGAGAGCAGGGACTGGGTATCTGTAGCTCACAACTATCATCTCAACAGCCCAGCATGGAGTAGATGCTCAAGAAACCCCTGTTGACCAAGTGGTAGATCAGTATAGAGAGAGAGGGGACAATAACACTTTTCAGGTATGCTCACCATGGAAGGGTCAACCATTTCAGATCAAAAGGCAGCATTTACTTAAGGACAAAGTTTAGAAGGGTTGGGAAGAAGGGTGCGATATAAATTAGAATCAAAGGGTGGAAGTGAGATTGTTGTTACTGTTGTTAAGTGCCAAGTTGGTTTTGACTCATAGCAATCCTGTATGGGTTTCTGAGGAGTCGCTGGTGAGCCTGAACTACCAACCTTGCAGTTCAAACTGACTTTGCAGTCAGCGCATTAACCCACAGCGCCGCATGTGGAATAACTGATGTTACAAGGAGGGAATTGCAATCATTGAAGTGAAGCGAAGTGTAAGATTTGTTGAATCTTAAAACTATAAACCTCTCTCAATTAACAATAAAGATTTATGTAAAAGGGAAAAACCTGTTGAATGAAAATAAACACAGGTCCACACACAATATGATTACCATTCAGTCAGAGCGGCGCAGATGGAAGGCAAGAAAACTCTACTGTACCTTGTTCGTGATGAATCCATGTCCAACACCAACTTTGCTAAATGTTTCCTCTGTTTTTGAATATTTGGGATTTCCACCTGTAATCACAGGAGGTAAGAGTGAAAGATACCATCTAAATGAGGACCAAGATTAATTCTTAAAACAACAGTCAGCCACCGAACACCTAGATGTCTACCAATGCTTCTTTTCAAATGAAACTCTTGATTCCTTTTTCTTAGGTAACCTCTGCTCTCTCTTGGCTGGCTTTGCCAGGCCCTCTATTAAGCCAGTCCAGTTCTGAGGCAGCAGACAAGGACCAAAGGAGGGAGAAAATGGAGTGGGGATGTGGTAGAGTCTGATCCTCTAGCTATTTCCAAAAGGGAGTACAATTAGGATTCATTTTTATGTCATTAAAGTAAAATTTGTTCAACACAGATACTGAATAAACATTGCTGTGGATTTCTTCGCCGACTGGAAGTTCCTTCAAATTGGTTGTATGGGGATGCTTTATTTATATCTTTGTTTCTAAAAATGGCTTCAGTGAACATTCCAGGGCAGGATTTTGGGTTTAGGCCAGCACAAATAGTGTGGGCTATGAGAATTAAAAAGAAAAAAACTGACCATGTATTGAGCTAAATCATATAAGTTGGGCCTTTTATATAAGGAAACAATGGAATGAAAATCCAACATTCTCAACAGTGCTTCCGAGTACGGATGAGTAATATAATGTGTGTGATAATGTCCATGAGGAAGGAAGGGAAGGAAGAGTAACAGTTGTTGGCCATCCAGGCAAAGTTGGAGAAGTCCTTGGGCACTTATACAAACGCCCAAAGTGAGCCTCAGCAGTCAAGTCAGACTTGCTCTTTAGGATTGCTCACACGTTGGGTGAAATCACCTTTATGAAGAGCAGACAGTCTCTCATGAATTTTCTAGGTTGAGAATAACCTATAACATGGATTCTGAAAAGCTGAGTGTAGGTCTACGTCAAAGCATCGTATCAAGGATTTCCCTGTTGAATGACAGTTGAGTACATGTTGTTTAATGATGGAAGGTATTTCGAATACCAAAAGGGTTACCCATGGTGGAGAGATTTCAGCACAGCCCCCACACTAACACTAGGAAGAAGGACCTGGTGTAACTCTGAAAAAAAATGGCCAGTGAAAACCTTACAAGTAGCAGTGGGACATTGTGTTATATCGTATTGGAAGGTGATGGCCTCAGGTTGGAAGGCACTTCAAATATAACAGGGAAAGAGCTGCCTCCTCAAAGGAGAGTTGACTGTACAATGGACTGGATGGAGAGCAAAGTTTTCAGAACTTTCATATCCTGATGCGGCATGACACAAATTGAGGAGAAACAGATGGAAACATCCATCAGTAATTGGAATGGGAATGCACGAAGTATGAATCTTGGAAATCTGGAAGTAACCAAATGGAACAGAATTTTGAAAATAGACAGTCTAAGTATTGCTGTTCTTGTTGTGTGCCGTCGAGTTGGTTCTGAATCATAGCAGCTCTGCAGAGGGTTTCTGAGAGCAGTTGGTGGCATTATTGAGCGGAAATGGACTGGTATTGGTCATTTTGAATCAATCATATGGCTTACCATACCATACAGGAATGAAAAATTGAAAAGGAATGGCATCACAATCATCCTCAAAAAGAACATTTCAAGATCTATCCTGAAGTACACGCTGTCAGTGATATGATAATATCCATATTCCTACAAGGTAGACCAGTTAATACGACTATTATTCAAATATACATACCACCACGAACGCCAAAGAAGAAGAAACTCAATATTCTGACATCTAAAATTGATCAAACATGCCATCAAGATGCAGTGATAATTTCTGATAATTGGAATACAAAAGATGGAAGACAAAAAAGAAGGATGAGAAGTTGGAAAGTATCGTTTTAGTGACAGATAAAACCCTGGAGACAACATGACAGAATTTTGCAAAACCAATAAACAACTCATTGGAAATCTCTTTTGTAGACAACATAAACAACAACTCTATGTGTGGGCCACACCAGAAGAAATATATAAGAATAAAATCCAAGTCTGGGTCAAATAGAACCCTGGTGGTATAGTGGGTTACACGTTGAAGTGCTAACCGCAAGGTCAGCAGCTAGACTCCACCAGACGCTTCCTGAGAGAAAGCTAAGGCTATCTGCTCCCAGAAAGATTTACAATTTCAGGAACCCTATACAGAGTTTGCCGTGACTCAGAACTGACTCAAAGGCACACAACCATCATCACCATGGGCAAAATACTGAACAATGCAGAAAGCATCAAAAGAAGATGGAAAAAACACACAGTCACTGCACCAAAAAGAATTGGTCAAAACCAAAAACCATTTTTGGAGATAGCATATTGTCAAGAACCAATAATACTGAAGGAAGAAGTCTAAGCTACACTGAAGGCAATGGCAAAAAAAAAACACACCCAAAAGACTAAGGATCCAGGAACTGACAGAATACCAAATGAGACATTTCAGTAAATGAATGAAGCACTGGTAGTGCTCAACTGTGCCAAGAAATCTGATGACAGCTTCTAGACCAATCGACTGGAAGAGATCCATATCTGTGACCATTCCAAAGAAAGATGATCCAAAAGAACATGGAAATTATCAAGTAATATCATTAATATCACACATAAGTAAAATTTTAAGGAAGGTAATTCAAAAATTGTTGTAGCAGCCCATCAACAAGAAACTGCCAGAAATTTAAGCTAGGTTCAGAAGACAACGTGAAATTCTTGAAGCCAGATAGGTCATAGCTGAAAGAAGAGAATGCTTGAAAGACTTTTACTTGAGGTTGATGTACTATACAAAAGCATTCGACTGTGTGGATCATAACGATTTACATATCACAGTTCGAAGAATGGGAATTCCAAGACACTTCATTGTGCTTATGTGGAACCTGTACAAAGAACAGGAGGCAAACAGCTAAACACAACACAGGAATAATCCATGGTTTAAAATCAGGAGACATATACGTCAAGGTTGTATCCTTTCACCAGATTATTCAATCTGTATGCTGAGCAAATAATCTGAGAAACTGGATTATGTGAAGAAAAATGCTTTATCAGAATTGTTGTTGTAAAGTGCCATCCATTGGGTTCTGCCTCATTGCAACCTTGTATAGGGTTTCTAAGGAGCAGCTAGTGGGTTTGAACTGCCGACCTGCTGATCCTATAGTGCCGTACCAGAAGTCTGCATCAAGACTGTTGGAAGACTCTAATCACCTGCTTGTTCAAAGTGAAGAGGACCTGTAGCACTTAATGATGAAGATCAAAGACGGTAGTTTTCGATATGGACTACACATCAATATAAAGAAACAAAAATCTTCATTACTGGGTCAATAAGTAACATCATGACAGACAGAGAAAGTAAAGTTACCAAGGATTTCATTTAACTTGTACCCACAATCAAACACAATGGAAGCAGGAGTCTAGAAGTCAATTGGTGTATTGCATTGGGCAAATCTGCTACAGAAGGCCTACTGGAAGTGTTCAAAGGCAAAGATGTCACGTTGGGGACTAAGGTGTGTCTAGTCCAAACTATGGTAATTTCAATTACTTCATATGCATGACAAACTAGACTATGAACATGGAAGATTGAAGGAAAAAATGATGCACTTAAATTATGGTGCTGGCAACAATATGAAATATGCAATAGACTGCCAGTAAAAGAACAAATTTGTGTAGGAAACAGTACAACCACAATGCTTCTAACAAGGGAGAATGGTGCGACTTTATCTTACATACTTTGAACATGTTATTAGGAGGAACCAGTCCTTAGAGAAGGACACCATGCTTGGGAAAGTAGAGGGTCAGCTATAAAGGGGAAGACCCTCAACAAGACGGAATGACACAGTGGGTGCAACAAGGGGCACAAACGTAACACCTGTGAGCATGGTGCAGGACGGGACAGGTGTTGCACAAACAGGGTCACTGTGAGTCAGAACCAACTTGATAACACCTAACAGCAATGATAACCTTCATGAATCCTTTTTACAAATCACCATGAAACTGTTATTTCACTCGTGACGATTCATTTGTATCAGAACAGAACTTGCTCCACAGGATTTCAATAATTCAGAAGCATATGGCCAGGCGTTTCTTCCAAGGTTCCTCCGGGTGAGCCTGATCATTCAATCTCTTGGTTAGCAATTGAGCACATTAACCATTTATTTGTGCCACAAAGGGAACTGAATGTCTTTAGACACTTATAAATATTTATCCATACCTCTGTCACACAAATAGCCTCAGGGGAGGTGGAATTGCAGGGTAAAGTGTAGACAAGAAACCAGAGATGGTCTAGGGGCAGTGCTCTCTGATGCGGTAGCCTCTAGGAGTCTTGGTGTCGTGCTGGAGATCTAAGCAGTGGACTCACCAGCCGCTCCTCAGAAACCGCATACAGGGTCAGTATGAGTGAGAAACGACTGGACAGAACTTAACAGCACCCACACAACAGGATTAGCAGGGGACTGTGAGCCACAAGGTCAGTGGTTCAAACTCACCGACTGCTCCACAGAAACCCTAGACGGGGTCACTATGAGTCGACTTGACGGCATTTAACAACAACAACACAGCCACAGACGGCTATGTAATTTTAATTCCAAATGGATGAAAATGAAATAAAATTTAATTAAAATTTTGTCAAAATGTAGTTCTCCAGTTGCATCAAGAACAGTTCAATTGCTCAGTCTATACACGTGTTTAGTAGCTTCCCAACTGTGCACACAGGACGTTCCATGGTCACACAAGTTCTGCTGGGAAGTGCACATGTCATTGTGCGTGGTCAATAAAAGGTCATTCGAAGGGAGATTCAGGGTTCAGGGCCACACCACCCCCCCACCACCATTTCCTTTCTCACTTCAGAAATTTTCACTTGGTTGAGCCTAAACAAAATTGTCACATAGACATTCACATTGACTTTTATTTTAAAAACAAACAAAAAAACTAGTTATATTTTATATCCTTGAAAATCCAAAATGAACGGACCTTTATAAACATAAGCCGTACAAGGCAATGCAGAGTCTCTTGAACACACATCTCCTGTCTCCTTGTCAGGAGACTTCTCCGAAGATTGGATACGGGTGGGGAAGGGGGCGGCTGGCCTGGTGACCCTCACCCACTGTGATGTCGCCAGAGAAGAAGAGTGGGAAAGGAAGAAGGGGTCGGTAAGCAACTGGGAATCTTCAATCATCTTATGTGACTTCCAAAATGTGGGACTTAACCACTGGAGTCAGGGGAGTGATTTTAGGTGGTATAATAACATCAAATCAATCTGCCTAATCAACTCACTGTCGTCAGTACCTCAGAGTACGTGAAGAGCACAGCCTCTTCAAACAAAACAAAACAACAAAAAAGAACACCTCTTCAACTCCTCCTCCTCTTCTCTTTCATTAAAGAGAGGCAAGCTTCAGAATCACAGCCTTCCACAGGAAGCAGGAGTCAAAATCCAATAGCGCTGGCTTGGCTGTCATCTCCTTTACCTTCATGCTCACCTGATACAGCAAAGGTGGTGGAAGTAGCTGCTCAATTTCAGGTGATGATTTACAATTCCTTTTCAATTGAATTCCTTTGGAAACGGTGACTACATCAGTATTAATCATTATTCTAAGCGTGTCAGGGAGTAGGTGAGGGCTGGAAACTGTAATAATGCTGCAAGTTGAGTAACCATCTCTGTGGTTCACTGATTCCTAGTGTTATTCCTGCTCATACCTCAGCCAGCAGAAACAGGGGCTCAATCACATCTCTCTCCACTTGCAACTCGAAATGTATCAGCTCTTGAGCCAGCTTGTCCTCTGTCTCTCCACAGAGTTTCAGCATCTTCCTGTAATACAAAGAAGAGAACAGCAAACTGAATATCCTAAAATTTCAGTCTGTTTCATACCTTTACCAACCCCTGGCTCGGTAAACTTTCATGACTCAGCGTTAATACGTTGCTTCATTTCCACAGCATTCCACTGATCAATGTATTCCATCTGTTTTCATCTCTGAGATTATTGATTTTTCATGTGATGCTGAATACCTTCTGTACTGTCTGGAGTACGATGGCACACTTGGCAAAATATAAGAGAAACGTGGGGAGATGACATAGACTCATATATATCAAATCTACAGGCTTCAAAGGAGCCCGGGGCTTCTATCTCTCCAGACAGCACTGAAGATACAAACAAAAACAGATTCACTAACAAACCAACATCGCAAACACATTCCAAAAACTTAGTGGCAGTAGGTTATAATAGAAAGGAGGAGCTCTGGTAGCGTAGTGGTTACGAATCGGGCTGCGAGCCGCAAGGTCAGCAGTTCGAAACTACCAGCTGTTCCGCGGGAGAAAGATAAGGAGGTCTGCTCCCGTAAAAGATTTACAGCCTCGGAAACCCTGTACAGGGCCGCTGTGAGTCGGAACCGACTCCATGGCACATAACAACAACAACATAATAGAAAGAAAACCCTTTTATTTAAGCCATCAAAATTTATTCTTATTTTAATTCTGTGTGGGTTAAATAAAAGAAAAAAAAATCCAAAAATAATGAGTTAACAGAAATTCTGAATAAGTTGAAAGTTAAGCCACATTTCAGATGAAAGAACAGGTACCCTCCCTTTAAATGGTGGTGGTTGTTAAATGCCGTCAACTTATTTCTGTATTGGATTTTGGAGGACTGGCTGATGAGCTTGAACCACCAACCTTGCAGTTCAAGCCGACTTTGCAGCCGAGCGCCTTAACTCACAGAACCACACCAGCAGTTATTACTTTTCACAATCCAATACCATGTTAAACCAAACTCACATAGAAAGTTTTCCAAACCAATAAAATGTTAAAGTGAGATTAGAAGTCTCTGTCACTTTTTTTTTCATCTCTCTCAAGACACTGAGCCATCTTTGATGTGAATGAGTTTCATGTTCTTGAATTAGTCTTTTCCAGAATCACTAATTATTATTATTCTGAAGTTACTATGTATCCTCCCTGATATTTTTGCAACATCACTACATATGTACATGTTAACATGTAATATACAATACTGCTCTGTTGCCTAGCTAAATAAGTTTATTTACATCAGTAGTTTACCAAGTATATCCTTCTACTACCTGTTCTCTTAACTCATCATTATGTTTGGGGCTTATCCATCTTGATACACACAAAATTATTTCATTTTCCTGTATAAAATTCCATTTTATAAATATACCATTATTTATTAAGATCACCAATAATCCACGGAGTCCTGGGTTGATGCTGTAGGTACAGCACTGGACTGCGAACCACAAGGTCAGCTGTTCAAACCCACCAGTGGGTCCTTCGGAACCCTATACAGGGTTGCTATGTGTCGGCCCAAATCAATAGGCCTTAACAACAACAATAACAGAATTCACAGTACTGTTGTTTGTCGTTGTAATGAAAACATGAGGAAGCTTGAAAAATGTCATGGAAAAAGGAAGTAAAAGATAATGTAGGTATTGAATGATAATGCACGGAGGGGACTGTAATCATTGTAATGAAACAAAATATGACAGGATGAGTGTGAAACCAATGTTCTCTCATGTAAACTATCACTCAATTCACAATTAAAACTTCAAAAAGAAAAGGATGTAGGACATCCAGCAAGATGGTAGATTGGACAAATACATTACACAAACCCTCTACAACAAAGAAACAAGAGGTCAAGAAATAGATATGGATGTTAGGCTAGAAGAGCGGATTAAATGCTGACTAGGCGAGGAGGGGACCAAAAACAGCAAAAGAGGAGACAGACAGGCCAGCTGTTGCAAGCAGCATTTGATCAAGATAGCAGCCTGTCCACAAACACCCACACACCAAGGGCCGGCGATGAGAAAGGTGCAATTCTCCCTTGCTCTTCACATCCTTCTGGTGATCAGAAGTGTGGCCAGCCCCTATCCTCACCCACCCAGCAGCCAATAACCCTACTCTCCCTGAGGTTGGCGCCACACACTTGATGATCAGGGCCTGGGTGCATGCACCTGCATATGGAGGTACACAGAGTCAGACATGCAGAACTCCCAGTGCTGGATTCCTGGTCTCCCTGGGCAAACAGAAACTCCTTCCATAAGCAGTAGCCCTGTCCCCAACTGTTCTCTGGGCCCCAAAGAACTCCTTCTGGCCACAAGGAGCCTGACCACAGACACCTGACGAGCCCCCATGAACTACTTCCAGATCAGATGTCGTGGTAGTTAGGTTCTGTGTCAACTTAATTGAGCCAGGATTCCTAGTTGTTTGGCAGTTGATAGTTAACTCTATGATGATTGGCTATGAGCAAGCATAGTTAACTCGATGACAATTGGCTATGAGCAGCCAATCAATTGATAGGATATTTCCATAGGGGTGTGGCCTGCTCCCAATGTAATGGACATGCAGGAGAGATTCACTCCTTTTCCCGCAGGGTCTGGCTCTAGAATCTGGGTCATACTCCACTTCCGGTTCTTGAAATCTGAGCCAGTGGCCTGATCTATTATGTGTTTGCCTCCTGGGCCTGCTGACCGAGTGCGCCTGGAAAACTGGAAGCCCACCATCGGGTTGGCATGTCTATTCCTGTTGCCCCAGCTCAAGTGCTCTGTGCTACCGGTTCTGCTGTGCACCTGCCCAGGCCTTGGTCACCTGTCAGCCTGTTCCTGCGCTGAGGTCCTGCTCAGTGCTCTGACTTGGGGTTCCTGTCTTCCAGGCCCACCAGCTGATCTTGGTTTGCCTGGACTGCACTTTGGACGCGCCTATCTCAACTGTGAACCATTACCTTGATATAAACTTCTCTTCATGAGTATGTTGTTGTTGTTGTTGTCAGGTGCCATCGAGTCGGAACCGACTCATAGCGACTCCATGCACAGCAGAACGAAACAATGTTCGATCCTGGGCCAACCTCACCACCGCTGCCACCCCTGAGTCCATCAATGATGCCACCTGGCCGATCCATCTCGTTGGAGGTCTTCCTCTTTTTCTCTGACCCTCCACCCTACCCAGCATGACATCCTTCTCCAACGATTGTTTCCTCCGGACTACATGTCCAAAGTAGGAGAGACGAAGCTTAGCCATCCTGGCCTCCAAGGAGCACTCTGGCTGCACTTCTTCCAAAACAGATCTATTGGTTCTTTTGGCAGTCCATGGCACCCTCAGTATTCTCCTCCAACACCACAACTCAAAGGCATCAATTCTTCTACGATCCTCTTTATTCACTGTCCAGCTTTCGCATCCATATGAGGCTATTGAAAACACAATGGCCTGGGTCAGGCGCACCCTAGTCCTCAAGCTGACATCTCTGCTCTTCAATACTTTAAAAAGTTCCTGTGCAGCAGATTTGCCCAGTGCAATACGTCGTCTGATCTCTTACATGTTGCCGCTAAGAGTTTTGAGTCAACTCTGTCTCACAGTGACCCTGTATAGGGTTTCCAAGGAGCAGCTGGTGAGTTTACTTATAGTAAATCTAGATCCTTTGGCCCACATTATTGCAGAAACTATGTAAGATTATGCAAACTGGATTACATGTCATCTCTTATTATGATAGTGTTCCATACCAAAAATCCAAAACTGAACCGAACCCGCTGCCGCTGAGTTGATTCTAACTCATAACAACACTGTATAAGGATTTCCGAGGCTGTAAATTTTATGGGCCTTGGTTTCTGAGAAATAACCTCCAGAGAACTGGAGTACTTTGGTCTGGGACATTCAGGCCACACTGGGGGATCTGTGCTGGTGACTAGGGGCTGGCTACACCAATAAAAACTCACCTGAAAGGCTGATACCAACTCACCTTAGGAGGTACAATTGAAGCTAACATGCAGGTTGGCTAGGACAATCGTGAAACACTGAAGCTCAGAGAGCTTCCTTATTGGCAAAGGGAATGTGCCAAACCTTCCATGAAGCAGCTCCACAATGAGAACCCACCCAGACCTCCCCATGCACCTCTCCCTGTTGAATACCTGGATTTATATCTTTTTACTGGCAGTTCAAGCTCACCAGCTGCTCCCTGGAAACCCTATAGAGGGTCGCTATTGGTCGGAATCGACTCAACGGCACTTAACAACAAAAACTGGAACAGACAGAACCTTGGTGGCACAGCACGTTGTATGTTAGGCTGTAACATGTATACATGTTACACACGTTACACATGCACATATGCTGCACACAAGGTCAGCAGAGTTTGAAGCCACCTGCCACTCTGTGGGCGGAAGAGGAGACTGTCTGCTCCTGTAAAAATGTACAGCCTCAGAAACTCTACAGAAAGTCGCTATGAGTCAGAATCAACCGAAATGGCATCAGGCTGGGTTTGGGTACTATTATAAAACTAGTAGTCTCAGGTATACTATCTTCCAGGAGTTCTGTGAGTCATTCTAGTGAAGTAACTCAAAGACAGAGTCTTCTTAAGCTGTAAGGTCTGATGTAGCCACAGTTGGCGATGGCCAAAAGCAGAGAGCACATGTGGGCAGCCCAGGGTCAGAAATGATGGAGAAGTGGAAAATCGAGGATATAATTTATGTTTGCCTCTTGGGAACTGGCTTTATGCTGACTCCCATTCATGCAGCTATGAGGGAGTTTCAAAATGTGTGTGGAAAATTTCATTATCTTGTAATTCTATTTTTCCACTAACTTTTTAAAGCTCCCTTGTATCGTCATGAGAATATTCAAGTAACAAATTTTCTAAATCTTTGCCTGAAAATATTTTTATATTTCCCCATATTTTTAAGTAATTTAGTTCATTATAGAATTCTAGGTTTCTTATTATTTTCACTCCATACTTTGAGAATAAGCCTCTATGATTTCCTGGTATTTATTTTTGTTCACCAATAGTCTTCGATCTAGTTTCTCGTTTGTAACCTGAACCTTCTTTGATGGCTTTTATAATTTTCTCTCTTTAATTAACAATCTGAAGTTTAAATATGTCCAAGGATGGATTCCTTTATATCAATCAGGACTTTCCGTACTTATTAAAGTGAAATTCATGCTTTTCTTCAAATCTAGAAAAAAATTTCAACCAAAACATTCAATGTCTTCTTTTCTCTCTTTTTTTTTTTCTTCAGAAATTCATATTAATTTCTTTCTTATTATATCATTCACCACTCAGGTCTCGTCATTTAATGTCTATAACCTTCTCTCTTGGCCATCATTCTGTTTGTTCTAGGTGGTGATTTCAGACCTGTTTTCAACTCCGCCAATTCACTTTTTGTTTGTCATCTCTAGTTGATCTCGATTAAGTTTATCTCAATGAGTGAAGCTAACTGAAAATTATTGTATCTCAACTGAGTTTTGAAATGACAATAAACATAATTTTTAAAAGTTCTATTTGGAAGTCCTGATGTTGTTATCACACGGATGTGAAATATCTACAATTAACCAACATGTTAAGACTATAGTTTATTGGGGCGTGCCCGCGGCATTGCAGGACAAGCATTGGACTGAGAACCACAAGGTCAGTGGTTCAAGTCCACCAGTCACTCCCCAGGAGACAGATGAGATTTTCTTCATGCGTAATGATTTACAGCCTAGGAAACCCAGTGCCAGGTCACTACGAATCGGAACTAACTTAACAGCACTTAACAACAGTATCAATCTTGTTTCTATGGAGTCTGGTGTGGCTCTAGTGGATAAACACTGGACTCCGAACTAAAGTTGGCAGTTCAAACCTATCAGCCACTCCTTGGAAACCTTATAAAGGGTTACTATGAGTCAAACTGACTCGATGGCTCTTAACAACATTTAGAGCAGGCTGCAGGGAGGGGGAAGGGAACTCTTTGACTAAGGGGTAGTGGCTTCTGTTAAGGGTGGTGGGAAAAGGCAGAAACAGACATGGTGATGATTGAATGACATGTTGCTGTTATTAAGTGTCGCTGAGTCGGTTTGTACGGGATTTCCAAGGAGTGGCTGGTGAGTTTCAACCACCGAGCCAGTGGTTCAAATCGACCCTGCGGTCCAGTGCTTTATCCCAGAGCCATACCAGGATTCTAGACATGATAAAGCATCATTAATGTCACTGGATTGTGCACGTGAAGGATGTTGAAATGGCAAATGTCTTGTTACTTATTTACCACAACTTTTTAGAAAGAGCTATCTTTGTTTTTTTCTTCAGTTCTGCCTACTCTTTTTTCATCTTGCTTGATTCGTTTGCCAAGGATTTTTTTGGTCTTTAATTTTAATTTCATTTTAAGTATATTATTTTATACTTTCATTTACAGCGGTTTATTATTTTTCGTTCCTAGGGTATGAATTCTCCTATTGATCCTATCCTCTAACTCCCTCGGATGATTCTATTTTTAGTGTTTCTTTGTGAGCTCAACACCACCAGGGGCTGCTCTGAAACAGAGGACTCCTTCCTGCTTCTGCTGGAGCCTGAGGGATTTCAATTGGCCTTCAACAGTTTGATGTTAATTTTTCCACTGGGGAGTTGCCTCCGTGAACAGACAATCTACCTCTGGAGTGGGTGTTTTCATTTCTCACGGGGAACCTTTCCTTTTTCTCCATCCAAGGGCCCACACTGACTGTAGGTAATGTCAGAACTTCCCTGGGGAATGCTAGTCCCCTTTATACAGGTGGGGGTGTGCCTGAATTTGGCACAAGCCCACGTGCAGTGTCACCTTACCCGAGAAGTGTGTCATCTCCCAGGACAGCTGATCCTTCCATCAAGCACTGAGCCAGTGTCGTCAGCGGCATTTTTTTCTGAAAAAGGAAAACAAGCATTAAATGAAAACTCTTTCCAGCAGTAACCTGCATTCTCTAAAGTAGTGAAAATGCAAATATTTACTGCTGACTGGCTAAGACACACAAACGGACTAACATAAAAATAACATAACATTTTTAGGTTTTCAGAACCTGAAAATTTACAGTAGACAATGATGGGTTAGATTCAGCCATGCTGAAATTCAAAGAAGGAGAAGTGTACGTTACATTAAATTTGCTACTTTGAAAATAAGCATCAAGTTTACATGCTGCATTTCAAAATAAAGTGGAATAGGAAGAATTGAAAGAGGGAACATTCCAAAACTGAGTTAATATAAAGATTTGAGCAATGCTCCACAAACTCCAAAACTTCATCTGTCCTGAGGATGGTGTTGTGGTGTTTTTGTTGGCCCTGTCCTCAGGTGAGATCTGAGCATGACAGAACCAAGCACTTCCTGGTTTAGTTTCATCTTTACCATAGCTGGTCTGCTTGAGCCCAAAGTTGGCCTCTTTGCTGTGCTTGAATCCACTGGGCAACCTAATAGTGCTCCCCCTCTGGCATGGTACCAAACAATGTCCTATTGTGATCCATAGTGTTTTGTGTGTTGTTAAAAAAAAAAAAAACATTTTTATTGTGAATTGAGTAAAGGTTTACAAACAAGATGATCAGTTTTACATTCAGCAAATCATATACTTTGTTTCATTACAATGATTGTAATCCCTTCCAGGCAACAACAGTTATCCTGCTTCCTCCCTGTGGTTACCCATGTACAGATATCTTCTTTCAGACTCATATGTTTGTGGAATATATAAATATATATCCCAATCTTCCTCCCACAAACATTCAGGATATGTCTCTGTCTGTGTATCTACACACAAAACACTGTTGTTCAAAGTTGTGTATATATCACTATATACCTCTATGCCTTGTATACCTCCTCCCTGTCTTCACCTGTCTTCATTATTCTTCTGTCAACCTCACCCTTCTGATATATGGTTCTCCCTATCATCCGAATGGAGTCCTGGTGTGGCGCTGAGGGTTAATGCGCCAGACTGCAAAGCCGTTTGAACTGCAAGTCGGCGGCTCAAGCTTACCAGCTGCTCCTCGGAAAACCTATACAGGGTCGCTATGGGTTGGAATCCACTTGACTTGACAGCACTTAACATAACATAACATCACCCGAATTAACATGAGTCTACCCTCCAGCCAGTGATTTATTCATCCTTCCCTCTCACCCCTGATAACCATCAAGGAATGTTCCTTTTACCATGAAAACCTGTCCTTGCGTTTTTACAACAGTGATCTCATACAGTATCTGTCCTTTTGTGGATGGTTAATTTCACTCAGCATAATGTCCTCCAGGTTCATCCATGTTGTGAGGTGCTTTGCAGATTCATCCGTATTTCTCAACATGGCATAGTGTTCCATTGTGTGCCAAAGTTTGTTTTAACCATTCCTCCACTGATGGGCATTTAGGCTGCCTCTATGTTTTTACTATTGTGAACAGTCCTGCGATGAGCATTGGTGAGCATATATCTACTTGTATCCTAGCTCTTATTTCTTGTGGATACATACCAAGCAGAGGGATTGCTGGATCACACCGTTTTTTTATTTCCAACTTTCTGAAGAAAGGCCATACCATTTTCTACAGTGGCTGAAATATTCTACCGTTCTACTGGCAATGTAAAAGAGCTCTGGTAGCATAGTGGTTACAAATCAGGCTGCGAACCTTAAGGTCAGCAGTTCGAAACTACCACTGTTCCGCAGGAGAAAGATGAGGCTTTCTGCTCCCATAAAGATTTACAGCCTCGGAAACCCTGTACAGGGTCGCTATGACGGCACATAACAACAGCAACAATGGCTAATGAATGTGAACATTTCTTCATATATCTGTTGGCTGTCTAAATGTCTTCTTTGGTCCTGAGTGTCTCTTCATGTCCTGTGACCATTTTTTAATTGGGTTGTTCATCTTTTTCTTGTAGAGGTGTTGTAGTTTCTATAAATTTTAGAGACCACTTCCTTGTCTGACATGTTGTTGCAAAAAAAAAAAAAAAAAAAAAAATTTCCCAGTCTGTTGACTCCCTTTTTTCTCTTTTGGTTAAATCTTTTGATGCACATAGTGTCTAATTTTTAGGAGGTCCCAGTCACTTATTTTGTCTTCTGTTGTTTGTGTGTTTTTAGTAATGTTTGATAGTGTATTTTTCATGTATCAGAGCCCCTAAGTTTGTCCCTAATTTTTCATTGATGATAATTACAGTTCTAGGTTTTACATTTAGGTTTTTAACCAGGTTTTTTGTGTACGGTGTGAGATATGGGTCTAGTTTCATTCTTCTGCAAACTGATTTCCAGTTTTGCCAGCAGTATTTGTTGAAGAGACTATTGCTTACCCATTTAATGTGTTTAGGTCCTTTGTCAAAGATCAGCTGACTGTATGTGAATGGATTTACTTCTGGGTTATCAATTCTGTTACATTAAGTCTATGTATCTTTCATTGTACCAGTACCAGAATGTTCAAAACAGCCTGGTACTGGTACAATGAAAGATACATTTTGAGATCAGGAATTGAAAAGCTTCCAACTTTGCTCTTCTTAAGCAGTGCTTTGCTTATCTGAGGTCTCTTTCTCTTCCATATAAAGTTAGTGATCATTTTTTCCATCTCTTTAAAGAATGCTGAAATCTGAATTGGGATTGCATTATAGCTACTGATTGCTTTGAGCAGTGTTGACAATTTCACATTATTAAAATCCTCCTATCAACAAGCATGGTATATTTTCTCATTTTTGTAAGTCTCTTTTAGTTTCTTGTAGTAGCGTTTTGTACTTTTCTTTGTATTGTTGTTAAGAGGCCTCAAGTTGATATCGACCCTTTATAGGTCCTTTGTTTCTCTGATTAGATTCATTCCTAAGTACTTCATCTCTGGGTGGCTATTGTAAATCATAGGAGTGCTGGTGAGGCACTGGTCTAAAAGGTCAGTTTGAACTGTAAGTTCGGCAGTTCAAACTCAGAAGCCACTCCTCAGAAACCTTATCCCGGGTCACTAAGAGTCAGAACCAGAACTGAACCAACAGCACTTAGTAACAACAGAAGCAACTGTAAATGGTATTCATTTATTAATGTTTGAATCTTTATTATTTCTTTTCTTCTGCTGGCTCTAAGCACACTTTGCTAAACTTTTTCTAATTGTTGGAGATGTTGTGTTAATGTTCATTCTTCTTTTGGGATGCATGAATTTATTGCTATAAGTTGTCCTCTAAGCACCACTTTTGCTATATCCCAGAGATTTTGGTATGTTGTATTTTCATTCTCATTTGACTCATGAAATTGTTTTAATTTTGTTTTTTATTTGTTCTATACCTTTTCAGCCCACTACTTATTTCAGACACTGAAACTTGCTCCCCAGCATAGAGATGCTAAAGCAAATGGGAGAAATGAGGAGGTCCAAGAGCCGAACAGAAAATTTCAAAGATCAGCTTGAGAAGACATAGTAAAATATTACAATGAAATGTGCAAAGATCGGGAGTCAGAAAACCAAAAGGGAAGAACACACTCAGCATTTCTCAAGCTGGGGGATCTGAAGAAAAAAATTCAAGTCTTGAGTTTCATTATTGAAGGATTTCTTGGGCAAATTATTGAATGACACAGAAAACATCAGAAGAAGATGGAAGGAATACACAGAGTCACTGTACCAAAAGGAAATGGTTGATGTTTAATCATTTCAAGAGGTAGCATATGATCAAGAGCCAATGATAGAGCAGCCGCAGGGTTGGAAAGATGGTGGAGGAAGAGCCAAGAAAAAAGATTCTGTTGGTTCCAGAAAACCTCCTGAAAAAGAGGAAGGCTTATCAGGCTCTCAAAGCCACCCAGGCAAAGCAGACACTTCTGGAAAAGAAGCAGAAGAAAGGAAAAGGTATTAGGTTTAAGTGACTGGAATCGTTCCTACTAGATTCCCAGTGACAGCAATGTGACAGGATGCGTGCATCAGATGACTAGAAGCGAAATGTCATGACTTGGAAGTACCAGATGAACATTCTCTGGCTTTGCAGTATGAATCCAAAGTATTAATGGGTTGAGTTTTCTGGTGCAGAAGACCATTGCAAGACTTCATCTAAAGATTTTTAGTGGTGTCTTTGTCAAAGTGACCCTCCAAACCATAAAAATGTTGCGTATAGTGGAACCTTATGTGACATGGGGATTTCCAAATCTGAAGTCTGTCCAGGAACTCATCCTGAAAGGTGGACAAGCCAATGTCAAGAATAAGACCATCTGTTTACAGACAACACAGTGATTGAGGAACACCTGGGGACGTTTGGTGCCATTTGCTTGGAAGATCTCAGTCATGAAACTGCCTTCCCGGGGAAGTATTTCCAGGTGGTCTCACAGTTCTTTGGCCCTTTCCATCTCTCTGTGGCCCATCATGCTACCAAGAATAAAGTGGGTTTTCTCAAGGAGATGGCCTCACCTGGCTATCGTGGTGAGTGTATTAATCAACTCATCAGGCAACTGAACTAGACCCAGAATGTCTGAAAGTATAATGCATTGGTGGAGGCATGTGTTTCTTTTCTGAAATGTCATCGAGTGTTTTCAAAGAGATTGCTTTCTGCTGTCTTCTGAAACTGGAGAGGAAAGGACAGCATGTGTGGCACATGGCAGGCACCTCCCATCTCAAAGCTCAATCCCAAGGAAAAATGCCAGTGTTTTCCACTTGGACACTGCCTCCTCTGGAATCAGCAAAGGACTTGTAGTTGCCATTGAAGGAGATCTGCTTTGTCAATCCTGGGATTTAATGTCAGTGAATACCAAAGCATGTGTACAAGACTCTCCAAGACCCATGTAGCAGTGGACAAAGCTCAGGGACAGATTTGACCTGGGATTCCTAAGTTCTTTCAAGTAGTGGAAAGAACTTGAAATATAATTGTTGTTGTTGTTGTCAGGTGCCATCGAGTCGGAACCGACTCATAGCAACCCCATGCACAGCAGAACGAAACAATGTTCGATCCTG